TTAAGCGTCCCACTCTTGGGTTCAGCTCAGGTCTCGAGCTCACCGTTCGTGGGATCGAGCCCCGTGTCAGGCTCTGTGCCGACAGCGCAGGGCCTGCTTGGGATTCTGTCTCTCTCCCTCTCTCCCTCTCTCTCTCTCTCTCTCTCCCCCTCTCTTTGCCCCTCCTCCGCTCAGGTGCACCCGTACCTTCTGTGTCTCAAAATGAAATAATAAATGTTAAAAAAAAGAAACACATCCATCTGTACCCGTATACACTTGCAACTATGAAAATGTGCACAGTGACTGGGTCCAGGAGCGCCAAAGCCTCTCTCATCACTTCCCTTCTGTTTCTCTGGCTGGTTAAGAAAGGAGGACTCTTTCAGAGCTTCTGATCTGATACACTCGCTGGCCCACCAGGGGGCCAGTACCAGAAGGGGCGTGTAGGAGCGTGTCGCTAACTCACTTCATCCTCACGTCCCCGCACCGTGCTCGACAGACAGCAATGTATCATCATCCTGCTTAAGGGCATTGTGAGCTAATATTTTCCAAAAAAGCATATTCAGATTCCCAAACTTCAAATATAGCATAGGAATTTCCTAGATGAGTGATTATCCTCTCGAAGTATTGTGGTGCACTCAAATTATTAAATGGCAAACGGCCACGCCAAAACCCTGACACCGTACATAGAACGATATGACGCATTTTAAACGTTTTTTTAATGTCTGTTTATTTTTGAGAGACAGAGAACGCACGTGCCAGAGTTGGGGGGGAGGTGGGGAGAGAAAGGGGGGGACCGAGGATCCAAAGCAGGCTCTGCGCTGACGGCAGAGAGCCCGACAAGGGGCTCGAACTCACAAACCGTAAGATCATGACCCGAGCCAAAGTTGGATGCTTAACCAACTGAGCCACCCGGGCGCCCAATGATACGTTTTTATCATGCAACATTGTTATTATATTTTATTTTCACATTTCATGTATTTCTACTTATTTAAGTCCCTACCAACTCTCTCAAGGAATTTATGGCAGCTTAAAATAAAAGCACATCAATATAGAACAAGGCTCTTTGAAATACCAGGAAGATGACAGTCCATAGAACTTCTAAAAATATATAACCTTTACTCTTCTCCACTGAAGATTTTTTTGAAATTTTTAAAAAAAGTTTTATTTATTTTTGACAGAGAGAGAGAGAGAGAGCGAGCATGAGCAGGGGAGGGGCAGAGAGAGAGGGAGACACAGAATCCGAAGCAGGCTCCAGGCTCCGAGCTGTTGGCACAGAGCCCGACGGGGGGCTCGAACTCACAGAGCACAAGATCATGACCTGAGCCAAAGTAGGACGCTCAACTGACTGAGCCACCCAGGTGCCCCTCCACTGAAGATTTTCAAATGTCCTTGAAGAATAAGGTAGGTCATTTTTAAGAGTTCCAACGGGTCAAACTCTCAACTGATATCTAAGAAATAAGTGTTGTTAATTACCCTGTGTGCATTCTTTCAAAAGAGCAACTTATAAAAGTCTCCAATAAAAGTAGGAGAAGGCAGAGAATTCAATGGCAAAGGAGTGACAATTTAGCTTCAGAGAAACTAAGGGCCTCTATAAGCCACTTTATGATTAAATGAGTGAAAAAGAGAAAAAGAAAATTACTCCTTGCATTTTTTTTAATTACTTGCATTTTAAGTATGTGTTCAAGTTGTAAAAAGTTAAATGGAAAGTCATGAAAGGTCTCTGGGACAGGCCCCAAGAGGGGGAAAGACCCACAGGGAAAGGGAACCACGGTGAAATCACTAATAAAGCACTTGGCACTGAATTAGGAGACCTGTGTCCTTCACACCTGTTCGAACAGATACAGCATGTAGGTTGAAAGCTGACGCTAAATTTAATGCACACTTTCCAAAGACACACTTGAAAATAGTATGTAGTGATGTGGAGAAATAACCCCTACCTCTTCCCATTACACGGCCTAAGGTAATTTTCACCTGTATCTTTATCATCACCTAGTAGAGACACGGTCGTTAGCCAAGGGACAGCCACCCTGGCAAAGAGCTCAGGGGTAGCCCTAAGGGAAATCCAAATCCGAAAATCAACTTGTCCAGTAATCTCAGCCTTTTTTAATTTAAATATTAAAAAAAGTTATTTATATAAGGCATCTTTTCAAATAGTTTTCGACCAAGGAAGTGGCCAGGCATGTAGGCAGGGGGAGGAAGAGGTCATATCACTCAAGAGGTTAAGAAGGAAGTTTCTGGGTCATTCATACCAGGATGTCCCACAGGACCGATGGACCATGTAGACAAAAATCCCAGGCCACATGTTTTCAAAAGGACCAATGTCAAAGTGGAATCTGAAACGAAAGAACACAAGGCTGATTAGTAAATATAATTAGGGTAAACATAAACACAAATAAAGTAATTTAATTTTGTGTCTTTTAAGAAACTAAAAAACCACTGAGAGTCTAGCCATCTCTCTTCCTGCGTTCTTAGTCACATCTTTGTTGTATTAAATGTTTCCAGGAGGAAATTCCACACATTCCCTCAGGAACTTAGCCCAATATTTAAGCCATTGCTTAATCTTCTATGAAACAACCTCTAAAAAATGATGTTGCGGTCGTTATCAGAGCAATGAGAGCGTACAAAATAACTTTACTGTGAATCCTACATGTGTTTTACACAACTTACAGACAAGGGGGGAAAGCGATTTTTTTTAGAGTGGAAAATCATTCTATCTCCCATCTAAATCCAGAGAGAAACTTCATAAATACAAACATCTGAAGTTATTACCTATTTTCCGTTTGCTAATTTAACTACTAAGATTTAACCCGCACAGACACGGCGGTAAACTATTTAAAAGAAACCATCTTCCTCCAGTTACACTTCTGACGCCACACGTGTGAGTTTTCCACACCCAGCAATTCTCCAACCCTCTGCAGACACCAACCGATGATGCCCTCTAACGCGGTGTACTTCCGACCCCACCGCAGCTAGCGTAGCCTGCGTGGGTCACGGGCTCGGTCCCGCAATACTGCCCCCGACTGCAGGTGCCAATCGTGAGGCCGTCCACCCCTCTGACCATCAGCTATAAAGCTGAGGTTCCCACAACCCCCACCTCGGGTGTTGCAAGGCAGAACGGCTCACAGAAGTCAGGGGAGCACCTCATTTAATACTACCAGTTTATTATTAGGATGCAAGTCAGGAACAGGCAAACGAAGAGATGCATGGGCCACGGCACGGGGGAAGGGGTGGGCTCTCAGGCCTCGGCAGGGGCACCACCCTCCTGGCACCTAACGTGTGTGCCAACCGGAAAGCCCTCCGAACCCCTTGTTGAGGGTTTCTGGAGGTTCCATTCCACGGGCACATTTGCTTAAATCGTTGGTCGCTGGTGACTGACTCAATCCCCAGCCCCTGTCCCTTCCCAGGAGGTCTGAGGGTGGGGCTGAAAATTACAACCCCCTAACCACGTGGTTGGCTCCTTGGACAACCGGCCCCCACCCTCCTAGAGTCCTTCAATAGCAGAAACTCAAGTGTGGTTGAACAAGGTTCATTCTGAACAAGAAAAGACACTTCTCTCACTCTGGTCATTCGGGAAACTCAAGGGGTTTAGGAGCTCTGAGCCAGGACCCGGCTCCAAAGACCAAATATACAGATTTCTTATTCTATCACAATGTGTATTGTACACAAACCATCAGAGGGTAAGTTGAGGCAAATAAGAAATCGTAAGAGCTTATTTGAGCAAAAATCTATTCCAACAGGGCAGTGGGAAGCCTGTAGGGACAGGAGCCAGCAGAGACCCCGGTGCAGAAACGCTGCAAGAGCCAAGAAAGGCAGTTGCTGCTGACTGTGGCTTCAGGCCCAGTTGGCTGTCTGTGCCTGGCCGTCCTCGGGGTTTCCATCACGTAGCCTTGAGGCCCTTTGGGTTTAGATTTTGGTTTGCTTACGCCAGCTGCTCCAGCATTAGAGTCACCTCAGTCTGATGGCCTTCTTGTTTAATGAACAGTTCCGATGATAGGGCAAGTATCAGCTCTGGGTTACTTCTGAAGATCTCTGGTATGTAGTTGAGTGCTGGCTTGCACTTAAAGTTTTAATTTTTAACGTTTATTTATTTTTGAGAGAGAGAGAGAGTGAGAGCAGAAGAGGGGCAGAGAGAGAGAGAGGGAGATTGCTGGCTTGCACTTAGAATGAACATACATATCATCAGAGGTCCTACTACCAGGAACTCACATATATTAACACAGGATCAGAAAAGAAAACGTGAAAGGTGAACTCATTCTTACTAAATTCTAAAATTTAGTTTTTAAATTTAAAATTGCACGGTAACAGAAACTTTTAGATCCCTGATCTTCAACGCCACTTTGAACATCAGGTACTATCTGGTGTGAAGTAGGCGGAAGACTAACGAGAAAAGGCTAACATCTCAGTTAACCCATTTCAAAATGGCGGTCAGATGTTTTTTCCTAAAGATAAAAGAGGCGTGGCCTTTCTTTCCACCTTCCATCACGAGAAGGGAAGTCACGGTGGAAGGGAAAATGGGAACCCACAGAGCACGTGTAACGTGGGGTCCATGACACTAATTGTACACCCAGTTCGTGTCAGGCGGAATCAAGTTAAAACTGTTCCGGAAGCAACAGGACAAAACACTCACAATTCGATCTCCTTGCAGAGGCGCACCGGGAGGTTAAAGTGCATGAGGCCTTGCCACTCTTCCGCGGTACAGATGCTGTGGTAGGACAGCTTCTCCATTGTCACCCGGTAAATGCACTCGGAATGTCGGATCCTGTGATACATCTGGATGGCAAACCCGCAAAGTTAAGGGTAAATTAAATGAGCGTTTCAAGTAGTTATGCCACTAAAGTTCAGAATTCGGTACAAAAGAATCAGTCAGAACTGTAACTGAAAACACTACTATTATCCATTAACTATAATCACCATACATTTCCATATACAACGAAGACACCCACACATGTGCCTTTGAAGATACAAAACACCTCGGATTTTTTTAAATTGTATCTCCATTTTATTTTATTTTATTTTATTTATTTATTTTTTTCAACGTTTATTTATTTTTGGGACAGAGAGAGACAGAGCATGAACGGGGGAGGGGCAGAGAGAGAGGGAGACACAGAATCGGAAACAGGCTCCAGGCTCCGAGCCATCAGCCCAGAGCCCGACGCGGGGCTCGAACTCACGGACCGCGAGATCGTGACCTGGCTGAAGTGGGACGCCCAAC